CAGCGGGGCAGCTTGCTGATGGAAATACTGTGTTGCATTAAACTGCCCTGTGAGTCAGACAAATTAAATTGGTATAAGAAGGCAGGCAAGCAGGTGATCCATTGCTCTGCAGGAAACAGGAGTCTGTCTGGTATTTTATGCATCACATGTAAAACACCACAGTGAAAATATTCTGTACATTAAACTGTGTAAAAATGGCAATCCGCACAGGATACTGTATAGTATAATTCTAAGCGATCCTTATCTACAGTGACAGATAAACAACCTTCATGCTGTACTGCATAATTACCCCTAAAAGTACCATTTCATTCTGAAAATGGCAAAGTATCCCTTCAGGCTGAATATTTTACGGCATATATACGGTACACAATTTGATACATATAAACCTTTTGAACCATTTAATCTCGCATATGGGGGAATCAGCAGTTTATTTTTACTACATTGCTATAAATCCAGACTTTGCCATAATATCTTCAGGTCGGTCAGTGAAATGGATCCTTGGATGGTGAAAACAATTAAATAGTGACGGAGTCATTAAGGGCGAGGATTAGTGGCTGGATGTATTTTATGACACAAAATCACCTTTCAGAGCCACATACTTGCAGAGAGGGCTGCACCTCTGGCTACTTACCTGACATGCCCACAAAAGTGACAGGAAGGCACTGATTGGTTGACACACCCACAAGAGAGACAGGAAGGCATTGATTGGCTGACACGCCCACAAGAGTGACAGGAAGGCACTGACTGGCTGATACACCTACAAGAGTGACAGGAAGGCACTGATTGGCTGACATGCCCACAAGAGTGACAGGAAGGCACTGACTGGCTGATACACCCACAAAAGTGACAGGAAGGACTGATTGGCTGACATGCCCACAAAAGTGACAGGAAGGACTGATTGGCTGCCATTTAAATTTATCAGATTCTGTGAGTCTATGAATATACTGACATGAAGTTTAAATCCTTTAAGGATGAACAGGGACAAGATTTTACAGTGACAGCTGTATCCTCAGAGTAAGAAACCAGAATTCTGAGACGCAGCACCAGAATGACAGGCGGCACAGATCATGTGAAGACAGTGACTTTTAAACGTTCTTTTTAAGGCACACCTAGTCAACCCCCCAATACATATACAGCTGAAGAGAGTGGAAACCCCCCCACCCAGCCTCGCTCGTGCTTCATCTCATAGTACTCAGGCAGGGACACAGTCCACCGAGGGCAATCGATACAGTAAACAGGGGTAGAAAAATGACTGCAGAGGCTCCGGCACAGAGCACCAAGTGCATCATGGGAAGACGCCTTACGCTGGAGTTTATTCCGAGCCGGTCGGACCCTGATCGGTTTTTCCATCCCAGCTGGGGAAATCTTCAGCTTTTGATCAATATTATTGTCAAGACTATTAGAGAAATATGGAGATAAGCTCCGGGCACAAATGGTCCATTTTTCGCAGCCTTGGTACCATCTTATTATCAAAGGTACATCTTCAAGGCCACAAACGTTGTGTGATGAGCAAAGCAGGACCCCCAACATGTAGCCGGCCTCCACGAGAGCCACATTCCTCTTAGCCCACCACACAACGCTGCCGACAGCAAATGGCTGAGCAGAACCGCACAACGTGACATATGGAATACATTTTCCAGGTATTTTAAAGAGGGTGATAAAATGTGGACTTCAAATAGCAGGAGATATAGTAGATGTCTCAAGTTCATAGCTTCGCTCTGGGCCTAAAGACTCAAGGTCTAATCTGAGATAGATGCATGACTCAGAGTGTCAGACCTTACAAACATTTTTCATGTTCTGTTCTTCCTCAGGAGGTGAGGAATGTAACCTTCATTAATAGGCGGGACTGGTGACCTACTTAAGACTAAAGGAGAGACACCGAATGTTTTGTAATAGAGAACTGCAGATGTTATTTGAAACAAGCCTGTCTAATCCTAACCTCCTATCCAGTATGAAGAGGATGGAGGTGGGATTTGTCCAGGGTGGGGCTGGAGTGATGGTCTCCTTCCAGTATTTATACTACAGAGGTCACAGATGAAGCTGCAGACTGGAAACATCTGTGAAGGATATAAACTTGGACTGGAGAGATGGAAACAGATGAATCGCAAACTGGATAAAACCAGACATGGAAGTTTAAATTCCCACTGGACAGGAATGACTGGACACCCAAAAATGTTAAACGTCCAGATTAATTAATGAATAAACAAAAATAAAATAAGGAAATTAAACTGATTAAATCTGCCAAGACCAAGAAATAATATTTTTTTAAAAATCAGCACAGTGACTCGTAGACAGGCTCCTTGGAGATTCCATCACCTCTATGTTCTGCCAAAGTAAAACCTCAAAACTTCAGAAGTGGCTCATCAACACCAAGTTCCCACAAATGACATTACCAAGTGGCATTATTTTGTCAGACAGAATGGTGTTTCTTCACATGGGGACAGTGCATTCATATCTATAGACAGCCATAAGAGGGAGCAGTTCCCCGGGTAGGTTGGATTAAATCAACAGCCTTGAAGGCATGTAGAGAAAGCAAGGAGAACCCAAGAACTTAACCCACATCCCATTGGTTAATTTACTGAGTTATACCTAAAGGAAACAGCACTGGAAGTCAATCCCACCCACCCTGGGTTTCAAAGCCTTTTCCTTCATTATGAGAAAAGTCCCCTGCAAGGTTAAAACTGAACAGAAGGATAGGAGAGCAGACCAATCAAAATCGACATGTATAACCTCTGTAGAGGGATTTAACAGGTAACCAGTCAATCAGAGCTACACAACGGGGTTTGTCTCTCTGTCAAAGCACAGACTTCTATGAGGGGGAGAGGCAAACCTGCTCTTTTGTGGACATGTTTGCGGCACAGGGGTACAAGAGAACAGGACAAGGGGCTTGTTTCAGCCCTAATCTATGTGGAAATAGCGCACGCATGCAAACAACACTCAGCTGCTCAGTCATTCTTTCTACAATAAATGTACAGGAAATGAGACACAAAAGGGCGAACCGGAATTCCACTGCTGGGCAATTTGCTCATTTGTCTACAAAACAAGGCAGAATATTCTCTCTTCTTTATAAACGTCTTTCCAGCAAATGAAATGGCGGTATTTCTCAGGCGGTAAAAGGCCCTTTATTTCCCTCATCCCAAACAAAGCTGTCACACTGCAATCTGCTAAAAAGGGGCGGAGCCAAAGTCACTCGCAGTGGGCGGCTTTTGAGGTCACCCCAGCCAAGCGGAGGCTAGTTTACACCCTGCTGTGTGCGTGTTTCGGGGGAGAAGAAGCTGACACGCCCCTCTAGCATGCTTAGCCCAGCATGAGAATGAATGAGCGCCCCCTGCAGGCCAAGCAGTGGAGGGGGGGAGGGGGTGTAGGCAGCACATCTGGTTTGCATTGAACCCACTCTGCTGTATCCCCTAACAGCTTCATTAAGTTTTACAGGCTTTTAATCAGCTGCAATGCATTTGGGTGAAAAGGCCTATTCCGCTCCGGCAGAACCGCGGGAGCTGAGAAATCAGTCACCCTGATGACTTCACTTCGAGTCAAACTGATCCGGTTTCAGCAGGATGGCGATAAGTACCAGGCGGATGATTCTCAAACAAAAATGAAGGATCTTGGCATCTTCAAAAGCGTCTGCTGCACAGCTGGCACAAGGGCAGCCTGAGAGCCAAACAAAACATCAGGGTAAATGCCAAAGGCCACCGTTTAATATACAGAAAGCTGTGGAGTCCGGCATTGATAGCAAATGTGGCAGAAAACTGCATTTCCCAGTATCCTTTGCTTTTGCAGCATGGACACGGTACAGCTGACATTGAAAACTGCTTGAAAATTCCTCACGGTTATTGAATAACTGTCAAATGCCAGTGTGCATTTCAAAGATAAGATTAGATACTGGTACACGTCGTACTGACAGATAATGTTCCTCTGGGTATTCCAGTGTCTCTAAATTGCCCATAGCATGCGAGAGTCTGCTCTGTGATGGACTGGCATCACATCCAAGGCGTCCCCAGCCTTCTGCCCCTTGCCTCCTGCGACAGTCTCCAGGCTGACTGAACATGCAGTTATGGAAGACAGACAGATGGTAATGTAGATTTTTTTTTTTTGTGGAAAGATTACAAATAGACTGAAAAACGGAAAGGGGAAGGTTTGAGGTGGAAGATCAGGAATAAACAGCAAAATGATAGTTGAGGTGAATGTTGCCAATATGCTTTAATCTATTCTGAAAGACCACATATTCAACTAATCCCCACCCCAACCCAGAAAGCACAGGCCACAGCCCTAAACACACAGTCTGTCGCGAGGCCCCAGCAGAGAGCCTCACACCATACTGAGAGATGATTAGGAGTCCCAGCACAAAGAGAATTTCTGCTCACAGGAAATTCTGTGGTCAGAAAAACACCTAATCTAACAGGTTAGACCATTTCAGGATCGGTTGCATGTAGCCAACATGTTTGTATGGAAAGTTACTAAAATGCTGATTAATGGAAACGCAGAGACAGCAGTAGATGAGGGGAAGCTTGGTCTCACAGAGCTCCAGCAATACAAGCAACGCTTGGAAAGATATTCTGCGTATATCCTGTGATAACCTCAGGGCATTGAACTTATAGTGCTCTCGCTAAACAAGCTATTATTATTAAATTGTGACCAAATGGTTTCCATGATTTACAGGCATTCAGTGAGTTTCCTCTCCACTGCCCGACACACACATCTCTATCCAATTTCCCTAATTAGACCATTTTTATACATTATAGCAAATCATTAATTTGTTGCCACATCATCTACAGGGTACAAGACTGACAATTATCAATGGGAATAAACAATTAGGATGCTAATTGATTTAGTGGTAATTTCTCTAGAAGAATTATTAAACGCATTATGTGGATGAAGGCTCCCTCGACAAAGGTCACCTAATCACCATTTTGAGGATCGCAGTGTGATTCTGGGCTTCCGGCTACTGCAAGAATGGAAAAACAAAATAAATGTATAAATAAATGATCTCACGCCAAAGCTTTACTTTAATGGATAAAATGGTTTATTAAAGTAGAGCACCACAGCACATGTCAGACAAGTTAACAGATTTTTGGTTAACAGAAAAGAAAACAAATGTGTCCGTTAACAGTCGAAGAACACTAAATCTAAAGGAGATTTACTCTAACATCACTCAGATGGGAAAGAAGCTCTATGGGAAACTCGAGGAGTGACTAATGGCATTATAATCCAGTTAAACCTTCATGTTTAGTAATGGTGCCTGTGTCCTTCCATGCATAGCTCTGAGTTTCTCCCCCCAGACTCATGAGCCTATGCATCATTTGGTCAGCTAGGTTTCCATATACAATAAATACGACATATTGCCCACATCCAAAATTGACAAATGTATACAAAAAAAAGACATGTAGTCGAAACAAAGTGTGACACCCTGAAAAAGAAAAAACCTAATTATAAGGTTTTATGGCACTTTTGAGCGAGCTAAATCCCATTTGTGCAATGTACTAAAGAAGCTAAATTGCCAATACAACATACATAGTGTTAGGACTGTGAAATGTTAATGCTAGTAAATGAACACAGTGTCAGAATGCAGTAACCCAAGGCTGGCTGCTTGACAGGGTTTTACAGAAGGGAGTCGTACAGAGTCTGCCCTCTAGTGGCCGTTCAGGAAAAAAAAACTACTTAGAGACTTAATTACTTTGCCTGTCCCTACACCCTGGGAACCGCCTCATTCAGATTATCTCACCCACACTACCTTAAGTATATGCTCTGGTGAATGTTCTAGGTAATAAAAAGATTTGAAATGTAGGGACAATCGTTTAACCCCCCCCCCCGCCACCGCCGCCCAGCTCTGACATGGGCCATTGGTGAACAACACGGCCGCAGAACAGGTTTCAAAACGTTCCCTAAGGCATCTGTGCATGTTCGCTGGAAGCTAGGAGTTAAAGCTTATCATGACATTGAGGGCTTTGTACTCTACTGCAGCTAAAGCACAAGGACATTTGAAACTATTTGGTGGGGAATGCATAAGGATACAGCAGCCGATGACTGACAAAAAGCAACTTACTAGAATCAGACAAATGTTAAGAGGAAATCTCGGCACCGCTCTGCTCATCTCTGTCAGTCAGCTGTCGCAGTGTTGGGAAAGAAACTCACAAAGTAATCCATTACAGCGGCGGTGGAGAGTTCAGGTCCAGGAAGTACAAATCCAGACCAAGGTTTTGTTTCAACCAACCAGTTGAGTATTCCTCGAATGTGACTCTTTATAATAAACTGGTTGGTTGAAACAAAACCTTGGTCTGGATTTGTACTTTCTGGTCTGTAATGGATTACTTTTGCGAGTATCTTCCCCAGCACGTACACATATTGGAGGAGAAGAGCCCCATCAGAGCTCCACGTGAACCTGCTAGATGAGTCCTCTGCACAAAGTCCTGCATCGATCCATGGGATGTGGCACTGGTCTAACGTGGTGCACTGTATGCCATTGTCACGGGATGTTAAAACAGCTATTCACACAAACATTGGCTGCGGCTACAAAGCTCGGAGTGAACAGTGACACCTGCTGGAAGCAAAGAATATAACAATCCGGCAGTCGTCACCTCCATATTGCCTAATGTGCTGCAATAAATATTAGTTTCTGCAAAATTTCAAAAATATATATCCACATTTTTTTTTATCCCAATTCAATACATAGTAAGTAGTATTATTAATTTTGCTTCAGCAAGAAATGGTTTAATGAATCTTTGTAAACTAGCCAGGTCTCTCGCGGTTTACGGATTCAGGCCCCTCCCACTTCGACTATTAACTCGCTAATGAAGCTGTTCCGCTCTGTAATATAAGGCGACCAATAAAATATTGGGAAAATGGTTTGGCCACATGCTGGAATGGCATATTGCAAAGGTAACAACAATAACTATGGTAAATACACAGAATTAATGCGATGTAGATGAAAACCTGCCACAAATGCTAGATATGAATGGGGAACATTGTAAACATTTACTCAGGATCCAGTAAACAAAAAATAAAAGAACTGTGCAAAAGAAAATTTTAAAAAGGATAAATTTAGAAAATCCTAACCGAACGAAAAAAAAACTGCAATAGTCGTCTTATTAACCCAGTAAAGCTATTTTAAAAAAATTATACTAAAGAAAAATGATGCAGAACTGCCATTAGTGGGAAATAAAAACAATGTAACATGATATTTTCCTCTCCATGGCATAGATATTTCCCTTACTGTTTCACCGTATTCAGCAATCATACTGCACCGCATACCAGTCATTAAAAAATTATTATGGGCAACGGAGATCGAACAGGAAGTCAGAACTCGGGGTCGTACCTGACGAGGCCGGGGCCCGGAGACCCGCAGGTGACCGCAGATCCGTGGGGGGAGGGCTGCGCGTGACAGACAGACACCTCTCCGCAACCTAGACACCCCGGGATGGTCCCGGCAGTCAGCACGAGTCGAGACTGTGGGGTCTGCTCGATGGCACAGGATAATCCTTCACTGCAAGCGTGTATCAGTACTCACACCATACACTCTTGTTTGTGCAATTCCAGAGAGTAGAAGGACGTGTGTGTGCGCATGCGTGCGCGTGTTTATGTGCGTGTGTTCATGTATGTTTGGAGGGGCGTGGCGGCTACACTGCATGCTACATGTCACACGGACACGGGGCTCTGTGCGCTGATCTCGGCCAGGTCCTCTTGCTGGTACATGAACGTCAACAGGAACAGGGCCACATCGTGCGAGCACCAATAGCCTGTGTGCGACGTCACCGCCGACCAATAGCGGCTCTCCACGAGGCCCTCACGCAGCTCGAAGTCGATGCGGCGTTCCAGCTCCACTGTGGGATGGAGACAGAGCTCTGACGTGGGGAGAAAACACCTCGGAACTCCATTTAGGACACTAAAATATCAGCACCTGTCACTGGGGAGAAACACCCCCCAGACTACCACAAATACAAGCCCTCCTACTGCTCCGCCCCAGGCTAACAGACGCAGGGAATGGTAAGGCAGTTCACAGCCATACTCACATGACGTGTCCATGACGGTGGAGGTGGAGGTAGAGGGTGACATAGAGCCTGATCCCTCTGCACACTGGCCCTCACCTTCGGCGGCCATGCCCTCAGCACCAGACGCTTGGCTGGAAGAGCGCGAGAAGCGCGAGAAGAGGATACCCCCGATGCCCTTGCCGATGCTGGCCGCGCCTGTGGGGGTACGGCAGGGAGTCAGGGCGTCAGGGCCTGGGGCCTGGGGCCCGGGGCCGACCTCGGGACGTCACCGGTGTCGCCTCAAGGAGGCAGTTCGCTCGCAGACAGACGGAAAATAAAAGTACCCTCACATCTGCCGATCGCCGAAATAGCTCAAAATCATGGTCGACACTCTGTGATCTCAGGCATGGTAACCTAGCCAGTGACATGAAGGTTTTCAGGGAAGCGTGTGATCTGTGGGTTAGGACTCCCAAGCCCGTAAGGTCGCTGGTTCAAATCCCATAACTGGCAGAGCGATTTCACTGTTGTGCCCTTGCTCCAAGGACACCGACTGACGCTGCTCTATGAAGCTCATCTGTATGTCACCAATCACCTGCTAAATAAATACAAGTAAAGCTTCTCACTAGTGACCAAGCTGATTATAGATATCAGTCAGACGCAGCAGACATGTCAGTACTATAGCATCTCTGGCAGCTGGAAAGTGATCTGTACATTGATCAGACATACAGAAATAGGCACAGCTCCTGTATTCGCTGATCTCAGGGCGACTGTGGACTAGAAATGTTATCAGTAGGTCAAGGTGAGCGGGATACCAGAGGCAGGAAGAGCTTTCATTGATCCCCCTGGAATACGGTGGCCCAAAATACTGATCTGGGATCAGTGCACTCAAGTGGACTAGCATTCTCTGATGACAAAAGGCTGATGTTTGGAAGGAGGTCACCATCGCCATAATTTCACCCTTACATACTAAATCATGTCACTAGCGCTTCAGGGTCATTATATCCAAAAGGTGCCTCAGTCAGCCTTTGAGTGTAATAATTCAGGCTTCATTTCCATTTACACAATACTGTCTTTTCATCTACGCGCAAAGTAACTCGATTCCCAGGGACTGTGGCAGGAATGGAACGGCAGTGTTGGCTCGTACCCAGGATGCTGGCCTTGCCCAGGTTGGTGATGGACTCCCCGTAGTGCCGGCGGGTCATCACGGGAGACGTGCTGGGGCTGGGATTGCTCTCCGTGTCCGACGTGGCCTCCTTCGCTGGGTTTATCAGGGTTGGCCGGATCTGGTCGTACGGCGTGGGGCTTGTGGTGTTGTACCTTCGATTTAAAGGGCTTGTCAGCATGCATTTCATAATCTGCATCAAGCACTATATTCAAACCCCCTACAATGGACAACTGCCTTCTTTCCAAACGTCCCCACTTATGGAATTACATAATCCCCATCCAACTGCACAAGTCACGTAAACATTGACAGCAAACCAAATGCTGGCGTCAGACTGTACTGCCATCATGGAAACATCATCACCATTTGTTCACAGTCGAGCCCATAAAAAGGAGCCCAGAGTGTAGTCGACACCCCCCCCCCCCCCATTGAAACTCACTACTCTGATGCCAGCTACAGTGCCAGACAATTAGCAAACATTAAGTGTCGAAGTTAAATGAGAATTCCACCGCGGGTAACCGTATGAGGAACGCACCAGGGAAATTATCCAGCTTCTCATACAGAACGTAAAAGCAGCTTTAAAAAACCTGCTCACTGCCAGCACAGGGTTTGTGTCTCAGCGCCTCAATGAGGGTCTGAGGGTCATGTGACCACGGTCATGTGGGAGACCTGTGTTGACACAGGCAGCTGGCCGGGTACTTGCCAGTGTATTTGGACAGGTGCAATGTTGCTGTAATGCTTCAGGATGAGGGGCTCCAGCCTGTAGGCCTGAGAGACAGAGGAAGCAGAGTCAGTGCTGGGCGACCGCTCAGCAGGAAGGCAGGCGGGGACAGACGGACGGGTGGGCAGACGGACGGGTGGGCAGACGGACGGAATATGAGAAGCTCACCACTGGGTCCGTGGGGTGGAAGATGTTAAACAGGCGCTGGCAGATGGATTTGGGCAGGATGTGATCCTGCGTGCCGCTGTTTCCTGGCCGGATGCCTCTCAGTGCCAGGAACACGGCAAGGGGAGAACCCATGCAGAAGAAGTTCTCCACCTAAATCCCCAGACAGACAGCCATGAGCCAGGTCAGGTAAAGGAAGCGGGAGCACAGGAGTATCCCAGGAGGGGGAGGAGGCAAAAAGTGCAGCACAATCAAAATAACATAAACCCATGGACTGTATAAACAACAGACACAAAACAGCTCCTATACAGAGTTAATGCCAAGGAATTAAAGTGTGTTTTAAGATGGGCTTTAAAAGTAGATAATCGTGGGGTCAGACAAATATGCAGAGGCAGCTCATTCCACAGTTTTGAAGCTATAACCGCAAACGCATGATCAGATCAGCAGATCTAAGTGCCCTTGATGTGACATGTGGTCCTAAAAGGTCAGCGAGATAAGTTGGGGCAAGAGGCCATTTAGTGATTTATATACAGACATTTTTGAAGAATGTTCTGGGCAATGTCAGTCAAAAACTGATGCAGTTAGACAAACTCACCTTGAACTTCAAGGCTGGGGAAGCGAGGGTGGTAGAGGGGTGCAGACTATCCAGCTGATCTTCTAATTCTCGTAGCCTTTGGGGGGGGGGAAAGAAACTGATGAAAAATGGGGGCAGCTTGCAGTCAAAGGAGACCATGGGGGACAGGCAAAGAGAAATGAAGCTACTGGACTTAGCAGGGCAATGGTAAATGCACATTTACACTGCCGGGTCCTGTGTACTGAATACTGGATGAAGAGCTGGAATGTTGGGAGGGGGTAACAGTTGTAGAATGCCTAGGGGGTATCACCAGCATTCGGGAAATCCCAGTGTCTCCGACATGACATGGGGGTTCCGTACCGCAGGCGCGTCAGGTACAGCTGCTCCAGAAGGTCACGCTCCTTGAAGCCAGCCTTGCTGGCGTCCGTCTCCACGGCTTCCAGCGCCTCCTGCAGGTAGAAGCGCATGGGGTCCCACCCCGTCATGATGTCGAAGGTGATGACGCAGCCCAAGGAGTGGGACACGATGGAGACCTTCCCCTTCTCCTCAAACTCTGGGTTCCGTGAGCAGAAGAGTGTGTACAGTCTGTTCAGTTCCTGGGTCAGACCCTTGGTGATCTACAAGTGGGGGTGAAATGGCAAATAACTAGGATGATCATGTGCTGATCACAAACATACACACAACATGTCTCTGAACACACACAGTAACATCACTTTAAGCATGTATGGCTTTACAGTAAACACAGGTGACATCACCTAATCAGCTGGGGACTGTAAACACTGTCAGTAGGTCAAGGTGAGTCAGCAGGTGGCTCAGGGATTAAAGACAGACTTTTAACCCAAATGCTGCTGCTTCAAGACTGCTCTGCAGCCCTCTTCAAAAGGTACTTAATCATCTCCAATACCCAGCTGAGTTAATGGATTAAACAACTGTTAACTAACCAAAACTGACAAACTGAAATAACGCAGTGAATATGGTCCTTGCATCTGAAGCATATGTATCTACATCACAAAAAGGTCGTTGTACATCCCGTTTGATGCTCCAGCAGTAAGAACACTTCAGCATGTAAACAGGCAGCACAGTCGGTTATGAAGGGTTGAGGTTTGGGCTTTATATCGACAGCCTTGAGGAGCACTTTAATCAAGCATGTTTAAATAAGTTCCGCAGGCACGCACAGACGGAGACAGACCGACAGAGACAGACCGACAGAGACAGACCGACAGAGACAGACCGACAGAGACAGACCGACAGAGACAGACCGACAGAGACAGACCGACAGAGACTATAGACAGGATGCCAGTCCATCACAGGGCACACACACTACAGGGAAATCAATTCACGTAACAGTATGTTTGTAGACTGTGGGATGTAACTTAAGCAACATGAGGAGACAAGAATTCAAACCTCCAACCTTGGACATGTGAAACTACTTACAGAGCCAAAGTGCCTCCCCTAACAGTAACAACAAAGTAATCGTCTTCATCGTCATCCTCATCCTCCACAGCAACAACAAAGATATTTTTAAGCCATTAATGGTTATAAACACACAAAGTCTGAGGAGTGGGGTGCTGGTTTGAGATGCAGTGGTTCTCTAAGCACTCTTTCAGCCTGCTATTTCAGCTCTTTGTGCAGAGCCAGGTCACGATAGTGACTGCTCCGCTTGCCTCCGCAGGCTGAAACAAGTCAGGGGCTCAGAGCTAGCGCTTGGGGGTAGTAACATGAATGCTAGGCAAAGCTAGCAGCGCCTATAGCTCAACGAGTAGCACACTGTGCTAACAACACAAAGGTCATGGGTTCAAATCCCAAGGAGCTGACATAAATTATAACCCTTTCCTCTACTGGTCCTTACTTTGGTTAAAAGAATAAGATGAATGGGGATATGTAACAAATGCAAAACCCTCAGGATGGGGGCCAGACTAGTGCACAGAGCTACAGCCTGCCTGCTGAATGGTGATCCCAAGCGGCCCTTTAGAGAAACTGCTTCAAGATGCAGAAAAGCTTCTGGTAACAGAATACACACTGCGGTTATGGGGAAGCTGCATAAATCACCCCAAACTCAACACTGATACTCCTGTTTCTTTCTCCCCAGAATGCCTGTTTTCACCCATCTATCTTTTGCTCCACTTTGCCATAAACAGTCGCATGACCTGACTGAGAAACTCCATTGTGTGACAGGCTGCAAGCATTTCCTAACCTATTTTTAGGATTAAATCCAAAATGCAGCCTTCCTTGACACATACTACATTAAAATCAATCCGTTTTTTTTTTCCTGAAAGTGGCCTCTGGGGGGCAGCTTCTGCGATTGGGAAACAGCTTTAATCCGACACCCTAACAGATTAGTCTGGAATAATCAGGGCACATTAATCTCTTGTTCATCTCCCGCCTCCATGTGCAATGTGACAGCAGTGCATGCGACTGATAGGCTGCTGCTCATCCAATGAGGATGGATTCCTCTTGATTGACATGCACAGCTTTTGCCTGGGATTAGGAATCACATGAAAGTGACAGCGGCAGATATGAAAGAGCATGTGGTCCTCACCTCGTCTCTGTACAGAGGACTGGTGTAGTACATGATGTCCATAGCACTGCTGTTCAGCATATCCCTCAGCCCACGCACCTTGTCCGGTGTTATGGAGTCCACGGTGTCTGGAAAGGTGACAGCAAGCCCTTATGCATGTCTGTTTACACCACACAAATGAGAACTGCGGGCAGAGGCCGGACCGACCTGCACACCGTCCTGATCAGGTCAGAGGCCGTGTGAACATTGTCTGTGTGGTAAACACACACTCTAGCGGCTCCACTGAGCTGCACCAGCGTACCTCCATCCAAGGACAGCTTGGACCTCCACTCCACAGGGAGGAACTCCACGTGCTCAGGGGCCCGCTCTGAAAAGTGCTTCTCCTCCATCTTTCTGGCTGCATCCCTCATCCTGAATGTGGACATGACCGCACACACACACACACACACACACACACACACACACACGCACACACTTTGATGATTAATCATGCACCGATAGGGTCCGCCCTGCAGATCACATCGCATTCCAGCTTACGCGCATTACAAAATTGTTTGCCCATTCATTACCATCTGACAAAAAATGTGAATTTATTTAATCCATCTAACCACTAATCCTGGTCGAGGTGGTGGTGTGAGAGCTGGAGCGGATCCCAGGCAGCAAAGGACACAAGTCAGGGGGTAAACCCTGAAGGGGACGCCAGCCCATCAAAAGGTTACGTGTATTATATTATATTATATTATATTATATGACATACACACACTGCACATATACGCATATATAAAAAATTGGTATTGGTATGCTACTACCAGGAACTATTTATGTGTCCTGAATTTCAACGGCCAATTCTGATTCACCACTGAGACTGTACCCATTACTCATGTGACTGACAGCCGTGAACATTCCCACGACACGGCCGGCCCAGTGTGACAGGAGCCGGGTGGGCGGAGTCACACATGCCAACTCACATGCCGGTGTTTTTAATGATGCGTAACTGGTCCATCTTCTGGCCGATGCCGTGGACAACGAAGACGAGGTGCGTGGTCTGGGGGGGCCTGTCCTCCAAGGACGACTCTTCCACGTAGCCCCGGTGCAGGCGCGTCCCGCTGCTGGACACTGTGGGTGCAGAGACAGGTGCGTGAGGCGAGGGGGACCCAGGGGCACCCAGGGGACACGGCTGGTGCTCATTAGCACAGTCATGTCCACACCGTCACAGGAGGGTAGCATAGGGAGAAGGGACAAAATTGCTAGGGACACTAACTCGGTGACACATATGGAAGAGGAGTGGAGGTAGGGAAGAATGGGGTAAACGAGAGTTAGGAGTCAGAGGGGCAGGCCTGAATGAGGGGCGTGGCACTCCAAAAAGGGGGCGGGGCACTCCAAACAGGGGGCGGGGCTAACAAGCAAGGTAAACAAGCGAGCCTAGGTGAGAGAGAAACAGATGGATAAACAGACCTTTGGAGAAACCCAGCTTCTGCGTGACGGTGCGAGCGATCTTGGAGGTGGTGGCGTCGCTGTACAGGTAGACCTCATCCACGCTGTGCCAGTCGACATGGGAACGGCTCAGCTTGAGGCTGTGGATTGCTGCACATGGGGGGGGGGAGGGGACGCGTTAGGGGACGACTGACCCTGACCCGTAAACACACGGGTCGATTAGACTGAAAAGCCCGCTGGTTTCACGCTGAGCCATACCCTTCCTGTCAAATGCAGAACAGTCTCTGCAGGTTTTTATTATTCACCAACCGTTTTTAACACAGATCAGAGTGTCACATGAGGCAGAACCTCGACAGAGCCCATCGCTCCAAGGCGAGAGAGAGTGATGATCTTACGTACAGCACAGTCTCCCTAATATCTATTAACTTCTGCCCAAATACGCAGAGGAGTCTAATGGCTGCGGCCTCATCTCTATGATAGAATGAGGACACGCTAATCCTCGTGAAGTTAGACCCCAGCCCAAAGCTTACTGCTGTAGAGAGGTTTGTTCTGAAAGGCCCACCATTAATTAACGGGGGGGTACAGTGGGCAGCGTAGGGAATAAAAATACCTTAGGCTGGCAAATGGCCGGCAGGAACACCGCAGCACTATTACAGCACATTAAATCTAGTGCAAAATGAGAGATACGGTCATAAGTGTGATTTCAGTACTGCTGCATGAAAGAGAAAGATTTCATGATATGGAGGATATAATACTGAGAATTTCTGGAGAATTTAAGAAATACAAGTAAGCAATGTTTCATGTTCAAATAATGGCGTAATATTGACTCTACCAGCTATCAAAGAAACCTGTTCCACTCTGGACATGGATTTAAAAAAAACATACTTTACTGACCAAACATAGTAAAAAAAAAAAAAATAATAATAATAATAATCAATAGATCACAGGACAGGATTTTGGGGTCCAGATAAGACACAAAGCTTTTAATCTGTTGGTTTAATAGTCCGTCAGTCTCCACAAGCTCTGACTAGCTGCACAAATCAGGCTGCCGCTTGAGATTATGAGACAGTTGGGAGAGGCAGCCGGGGAAAGCGGGAGCTGCACGAGAGGCTGGGAAATATACAGCACAAGTGTCATGATTTTTCATCCCTGTCTGAAAATTACTGTACTTATTGTCATCCAAGAATAATTACTGCATGCTCAGCTTGTGAATAATGCACCCAGGGAGCATTAATAGTTGATAAATACTGTCAACAGACAGCCTTAGAGTTTTGGCGCCACTTTGACACGGAGCCGACTGGCTTCCCAGCGAGGGAAGCCATGCTGAATCGCAGAGCCGAGAGCTGACATTTGTAACTGCGTGTCAGTCACAAACGATGATTCTCATTCATCACGCCTCGCTCTCTGGGCCACAAAGCACCAGAAAGCCTACGTGTTGTGGTCTCTCTCCTTTATGATGGACGTGGCCCTCATCAGGGATCGAAATTCGTTCTAGTTTGTTGATACTATTGAGCATTCCGGTTCGTTGTCGTATTATGGAGTGATGCGAGATAAAGGAGAGATTTTACTCTATGCTCTAAGGAGCGGATTACTCACACGGGCACAGAGTTGGGGGGGGGAAGGGGGCAGGGGATGACAGGGGTCGGAGTGCCAGGCCGCGCGGCCGTCCTCTGTGCATGCAGCTCTTGTCAAACTGCCAGCATCATCAGAGAGGCTAAAGCGGGCCAGATTAGCGTGACAAATCAAGAGCTTAAGTACTCGGCAAGAGCTGAAGGACTGTGGAGGCCACCGGGACGGGGGTGTGGGGCACCTGCATGAAACCCTCCGTGCGTGCCGACTCTGATGCCCCAGCACAGGTGAAGCCGGCTAACTACCCCACTACAGTCACATGGGCCGCCTCCAGCACAGCCGAAATGGGGTGTCCGTAGGGGGGATGGAGGCAGCCAGGCCAGGCGGCTCGACAGGGACATACCACCGAAGAGGGTGGGGTACAGTAGGAGGGTGGGATCTACGGCCTGACCAGAGGGGGCAGCATGCCTGGGACCAGGGGCAGGAGGGGGGGGTACATCTAGCGGGGCAGGAATATGAATGTCAGGATACAGTACCTTGGCAGAGCCTTCGGCAGATGCCAGCGGCGCTAGCGATTGGCTGATACCTCCTCCGTTTGAACAGAAAGGGGAGGTAGAAGGGAAGCAGCGAGGAGAAGGCTGGCAGAGACCAGGAGAGAGTGAATGTCATGGTGAACACGCGCCACCACCGGACACACCAAAGGCCGCCGCCGTCATGCCGTTTGACGGCACGCGTGGAGGATGCCCATCTCAGTCAGCGGACCCCGATCGCCGCTACCCCGCGACGCTCAACTCCGAAGGTCTTCTGACGTCAGCCTGTACCACACTGCGACCCCGCGGTACTGGTCTGGCGGATCGCCCAGGTCGGGCAGGGTCCTCCCTCACGCAGCAGCGTGGCGGCCATTTACAGTCACATCCGTCTCAGCAGTAATAGGAACCAACGGAGGTGAGCGGGGAGGCCCCCACAGAGCCGGGATGGTGGGAGACACCTCACAGCGGGCGGCTTGCAGGTAGCCCCCCGCAAACGCAATCAAAGCGTAATTACAAGTGGATGTGGCCTCAATCTAAACGCAAAACGCTAATTACAGAGGAATAAGGTCACTTACATGCTAAAGACAACAATAATTACCAAGAAATAAGGTCGCGCTCATGCTAAGTAAAACTCTAATTACAAAGGAATAAGGTCACTAGTGCTGAATGCAACTCTAATTACAAAGATGAGGTGTATCTCACACTGGATACATCTGTAATTACAGAGGCGATGAAGGCCTGCTTCCCCGCGAGCGCTATCGCAGCTGCAGACGGCTGAGCTCTTCCCTATATTACATTACCAGGTCTGTCAGAAAAACGCTACACGCACACCGTGTAATAGGGCAGTGAGTATCAGCTTACACACGTGCTTCTCTGCTAATACTCCACTCTGCCCAGGTACATGCGTGGCACGACACCTCAGGTTCATCTCCCCCAGCGTTTTTGATGTGAAGTGGGGGGGCGGGGGGGCACTCCTGACTGTTCCAGAGCAGTAATGCCAGCAGAGACAAAAATGAAACACGGAAATGGGAGTTTGTGTTTCTCACAATGCGACAGGCCTGTGAATGGGCCTATTAGGGCAGATCTGGAAACTTCCGTTTACTGCCAACAGTTGGCCAAACATCCCCCAACACGGTACCTACTTTTAAAGAACATATAAAGCAGAAACAGACACAAAGACCAACTGTTTCATCCACATTTCCCTCTCAGATAAAAAGCAACTCACACGCTTGTGTGAACTATAAACCGTGTCCCATTTGTGGCATTTTACCACGAGTGCATATTTATGCAAATGAATGCATTAGCGACGCCCACAGCCCTGGGCGCAGCTCCGTACCACAATGCAACCTCATGCTAGAAGCACAGTCACATCATGCATTAATAATCTAAAATCAGCTTTTTTCTTAGGGCCTCCACAGACTCCCTTTCAAAGCAGTATTCTGCCCCAGAAAGGGGGGGGGTGTCCCAGAAGTGTGAGGCAACACCGCTAACCACTGCGTCACCATGCCGCCCACGCTTAGGGTCAGCGGCTAAACTTGTGATGCTGTCTAAGCAGGACAGACTGTCAGAGCCTGGCAGTCTAGCCCATACAGAGTCCTTGAACGTGATCTCACTTCTGTGATTCAGACCTTCCATGTTTAAATCCTATGACGGCACTAGTGAGGCAGGACAGCTGGGAGCTGCCGTCTAATGTTTCAGGTTTTCAGCATCACGCCGCATAGCAACACCGGAGCTTGGCATCGGGCTCCGCAGAGGAAACGGGAGTCCCGGCACTCGCCCCGCTCACAGCGCGTGGGAAGGAAATTCACACCCAAGTGTGATGCATCAGTCTGCTTCGTCGGCGCCAAGGGCAGCAGCCGCGATAGGGGTAGCCCCCGGCCAAACCGGAGATCACAACCCGCCACCCACTCCAGCTTCCCATGCAAAACGCACTAGGGAAACGCAGCGTAAGCTATACAGTGCCCTAAGCACCTTTGAGATGCACATGAACATTCCCAAGGATCAGAAAGTACAAATCCAGACCAAGGTTTTGTTTCAACCAAGCCAACAGAGTACTTTGTGACTATGACTTTTTATACTCAACTGGTTGGTTGAAACAAAATCTTGGTCTAGATTTTTACTTTGTGGACCTGAACTTTCCATCGCTGCCTTTAATGGATTACTTTTGTGAGTAATTTCCCCAACACTGTCCCTGACTACTAGTTTTCAGTAAATAATGATAATAGTGTGCAGAGGTGACCCACAGGGTTGAGGGTTCAATTCCTAACCCCCACTCCCTGCATTGCATAGGTTGCCACAGGTCTTTCACATCATGTAACTGTATGCATGTGCTCTGTGACGATGGGGATTCTCCCGCCTTGTTCTGCCCCCTACAGCCCTGAACTGCATAAGCGATCGATTAAAAGGTGGATATTGGGGAAGGACAGTGAAATTAAACCTGCTTTGTCTTTTTTTTTTGACATCAAGAACTTAAAAGTAGGCTTCAGGCATCCCTACGAAAGCACCCTTCCTTCTCCTTCCCGCTCCCCCCGTCCTGTGTGTGAACATGAACACCCCCTGTTGCTGACTGTCTGGAATAATGTTGTGTGGCCACTTTGGTTTTTTTGTCCCCCGTGTACAGATCAGAAACACGTTTTTTTTTTTTTTTTTTTTAAGTGCACACACAGAACGGACAACTAGCAGACTATGGGGAGAGATTTGCTGAATTTGACAAAGTGTATCGGATTAAAATCGCATACTCTACCTTTAAAAGAAACAAAATCTCATTATAAGTATGACCAATCCAATGACAATCTGGATAATCCCATCATGGAGCTGGGACAACAGTCCATTTCTATTCATTAGCAACATTCCAGGACGGCCCTGGTGAACCTCGACCTCGGTCATGTGACACAGGTCCATGTGACCACTCTCTCCATTTCCTCTTTTCTCCCTCAGGTCCCCAGCACGCCTCTCACCGTCCTTGCTGTCCACCGTCGTAGAGACAGTGTCAGTGTCGAAGGCATCTTGCATCTGTTGTCCACGGAACCGCGCCAAGTGCTCCAGTTCGATGAGGTCACTCTCCTCCTCCTCTAGGGGCAGCCACGTGCCATCGGTGAACCACTGCCCCCTCATCACCGGGATGCGGTCCTGTTCTGCACGGTCACACCACACGAGGCATTCAGCAAGCAGTGAAAACACATTTCATGTCGATTGAATTAGAAATAAACCTAACTGTCATATTAACTGCATATATATGATTGAAAAATATTGAATTAGTTAAGAATGAACAACTCGATTTCTGTATGATCAGAACTTCAATTTTCAAAAAAATAAATAATAAATAAATAAAATTCTGGCAAAGATGCTAAAAAAAAAAAAAAGTACTTTGGACTACATGACGTCCCTCGCCATGGTAACGGTAATCCTTTTAAGTCCTTTTTCGTTAATCGCATGATTAAATGTGACTTAGAAGCGCAGACGGGGAAATAGACTGTCGCAGAATAACTCTGGGAGCGGATCAAGTAATAAAATGTTTGATCAATCTTATATATTCCGTTTTCCAGCCTGTTTCGTCCTGCAACACCAAAGATGCCGGTAGCAGCAATGTTTAATGAGGACTTAAAAGTGTCCCCGTGTGTACCATCGCAGTGTGTGTGTGTGTGTGTGTGTGTGGGGGGGGATGGGGGGTTTAAAAAAAAAAAAAAAAAACATAGATAAATATAGCGCTCCGAATCACTTGCTGCTGAACGCAGCACATGATCCGGCTCTTCCAGCGCTGATAACAGCCAGTACACGCGCCTTTTCGTGGTGAAATCCGTAGAATCTGATTATGCTATTATGTTCCGAATGGGGAGCCGTGATCAAGGTCAAGAAGCAGCATGTCGCCCGCAAGACCGTTTGGCCGACGGTATCGCTTTACAAACCCTCCGATAGCATCGGCGTGTGCAATTTAAAAGACTGTTTCGTTTACCTACCACAGTTTTCATCCATGCGTAACGATTACAGTGTTACACATGTAATCCTGTGTAGTCGGCCAAACGACCGGCAAAACAAAATACCAAATTATGCTGGGGGAGGGAGGCCCCACCTACGAATATTCTAGTTATCTGAATGGCATCCATGCATTTACCTACAAACTGCATGGGGAAAGGCATTTAAAGGCACCGCGCCGGAATAAAAAAAAAGATTCTGAAAGCTGCTGCTAAATAAATGCAATGCAAACACCGATTATGTTTGCGTCTAGGAGGGAAGTTATAATTGTATAAAATAACGCTGTGGTCCCTACACCGTGTAGTTACCCGAGTAGGAGTAGGACAGACACTGCTAGTTACTTATTCTCTAAGTTATACAATTTTAACAGCTAGTCAATGTACTGCCCGACTGATCAATCACCCCGAAATCGCCAAGCTTGTAATATTTCATGAATCGAAAAATAGTCACCTGAGATAAGGGGAGGGGGCGTGCGGTGATATTATATAGAATGGCTTACGGTTCCAGTAGACGGGGTAGCACTCCCGGTCTTTGACATCGACCTCGTAAAGACCTCCCCGGACACACACCGGGTCCACATCGATGCCGGCCGCCCCGTCCGCCGAATCGCATCTCTCGACGGCCCTCCGGCCGTCAAGCCCCCTGATGATCCCCGACTCCGCCGGTCTCGTCGCCACGTCATTGACCCCCTCGGACGGCGCGGCCGCCGCCTCTTTTCGCGGATTCTCCTCATCCTCCGCATCCGCCGGGCACGGCCCCTTGCTTGACCTGCCTGGGTTCAGCTCGCAGAATTTGCGGTACATGAGCTCGATCTTCAGCGAGTCGTACCCGACAAACGGCTTCCAGGTTCGGCGGTCCTCCTTGTAGAACCAGCGGACCTCTTCCGCTCCCAGCTCGCTGACCACTTCGTACCGGTGCCGACAACTGGTCGAGCGGTTCCTCTTCCTCGGGGCGACGTTGCCGTCGCTTTCGCTGTAGTCCCGGTCGCCAGCGCGCCCCAGGCAGGCGGAGTCCGGCCCGTGGTGAGCGTGACAGCCGGGATAATCCTCCCCCACTAGGCCCAGCACCATGCCGTCCTGTTCTGCCCCGTGGCGGTCGTGCAGCAGCGGCAGGTGTCTGTCCAGCCCGGGCTGCGGCGCTCTCATGCCGCGGTGCATCGCCTCGCCCACGGGCTCTTCGAAACAGCACTCAAAGGCGTCGCTGCCCATGTCCCAGCCGCTGGTGGCGTCCGAAGCATCCTCCGGGCTCCGCGTCGGGCTGAACTCGGCAGCCCCGTCCCTGTAACTGCTCATCGTCACACGCACAGCCGCCGACTGTATCGCACGGACACGGTGGTTAGTTAACGTTAACTACCCGTAACGCTGCCGCTCCTGTACGCGGACGGCGAGCCCCATTCCCAGTGTCCGCGCACCACCATCAATGCCGCCAAGCAGCGCCGCTCTCCGGCCCCCCTAGAGGGACATGTAGCTCCCCGCGCCGCTTGTCGTATCGCTCGCTTTCCTCCTGGCTGTCACTCGCCGGCAGGAGCCCGGTTTCCAACGGCCGCGGAGAAGGAGGGGACGGCCGGCCGAGAGTCGCTCCGAAGCGAAGCTCCGCCGCTCGTGGCGCTTCCGCGTTTTGGTCACGTGGTTCTGAGTCGGCAGGAATGAACGGGAGCGAGCGACGGGAACGTCACGGGAAGAATACCTGCCTTTGAAAACCAGCTAAACTGCGGAGACGTGCAAATATACATCACATGCTCCCATTTGAACAATCTACTCGATCAGTGCAAAGCCATGATTTTAAATAATGTGCTACCAAATTACAATTCCACTGCTAGCAATTACTGTCAAATGCAACTTCAGAAGAGATATGCAGACCATAAGGGAGACTAGTCTGTCTCCGGTTTTAAATTTAGACCAAGACAGCTTTAGTTTCAGTGCTGGCCCACACTATGTGCCGGCCTTTTTCCTCTGTATTCAACAAATGTAAATTACCCACAATCACTCCAACTGCTTCACTTTGCAAAAGGGCTACTTCCTTCCCCTTAAAAACACTGCTATCGAAGCTGTTTGTCCGAGTATTTTACTCATCGTAATGCATGTTTCTCTCATATTCGTGTTATCTGTAGTAGTACCACACACACACACACACACACACACAGATATATATAAACGATGACCCTTAAGTCATTGACCTTGGACATCCTTCTCTTTCCTTTATTATAGCCACGCCAGTCTTCCACACCGATCTTTACAATTTTACATCGATAATAACATGTTTATCTGTGATGTTGCTATTGCTTCAAATCTATAGTTGTTTAGTTGATCCCAAATAGGATATAAAGCGATTTTAACAACCCAGTCGAAAAGAGCGGTTTTTAAAATGGACTGATTTGCAACAACTCCTACCTATACAGCATACCTATATTGAGTACAAACATAAAATAACTCTCAGTATTTTGAGACTTTGCAGTTAGTTATCAGCCACTGTTTGCTGGGCTGTATATCCTGGCAGGTGCTGCAGTCCAGTCACAGCGCCTCCTACTGGTTGTAACGCTGCGGTTTAAAATCTGTTCAGCTAGGAGGGTGTATGAATGAGGGAAAAACTAGAATAGCCCTGGCTCAAATAATCTTTATATATATATATATATATATATATATATATATATATATATATATATATATATATATATATATATATATTATTTGCAACCTGTTTCTTTTATTATTATATGGAATTTCGCTGTGTTCGTTGGTATATAGCCTACGTGTAAGGCATGTTCGGTGAGGTAGATTTCTACTCCCATTTGTATTAGAAGTCTTAAGCAAATAAAGTTTAGTTCTTTTGGTAAGTTCTGATTATCGTATTTTTCTGTTTGTCTAATACTTTTCAGTCTCTTTTCTTTATTGCGATTATTTCTGTTAAACCTAGGCTCGCCTGTTTCTAAGCCTCAGCTGATAAGGCTGTATAAACCAAGCACCAGGAAAGGTTGCTGCTTACAAAGATGAAACAATAAGCATTCGCCCCGGATTCCCACTACAGTAAAGAAAACGAATATCATTTTAAAGATATATATGAAATTACGATTTAAGAGACGCGCGGCCGATGAAGCGGACGCTTCTCCTTCTGTACTGCGGGCTTATGTCCTCTATATCATCCGCTAAGGTTAAATTTGTATTATATGTAGAAAGACAGTGAAGTAATTAAAATCGCTATTCTACCCTCAAAATAACGTGCCGAATGTTTACTTATGTTTACAACTCATTAAAATAAGATGTTTACATGAAAGCCAACACTTGGTCGGTGTTTCAGAACCTCGCCAGGCAAATACCCGGAGGCGTTGGACTGGCGTCATGGTGAACGTGCTCCCTGCTGTAGATAGTAAGTGGATACTGTAAACTGATAGATGGAAACAGCGTTTAATAAATGTATTAATAAAGTCCTTAGTACTTCCAGACATAATCTCAAATTCTATACACTTAATCTCGCTTTAAATTTGACTTTCCCAAAAGAAAATAATCCTGAGTTTTCTAGCCGCTTAGTACAATATAAGGTTTTTTAGAACAGTGTATATCAAAATTATTTTGTTTTCCTATTAGATAAAGGGGGGAATAAATGGATTCTATCTGGTAAAGAGTAAAGTCGCTGCAGGTGTGTTTGTGTTTTACTCTGGAGCCAAAATTGTGTTACTGTCAGGCAACGAATGACAATAATACTGCAACCTAATGGCTTACAAATAAGGGTTTAGTATCTATAGCAGGTCTGCCTCATCATCTTTAGAAGTAATGTCCAAAAACAAAAACGCAGTGTACTTCTGAAGATACATGTGTAACATTTTAGTGCAGCAGTTCTATGACAATTAATAATATAATACCTTAATAGATACACTGTTGGGAAGTTCTGTTATCGCTTATCCCATTTTGCTGTTCATGAAACACATACAGGTAAGAGCAAGTTGGGGGGGGGGGGGGGGGGGGCGCAGAGTACAGCCAGCCTGATGCACCCATGGAGCAGAGCGTTAAGGGCCTTGATCAGAGGCACAACAGAGGCTGCACTCTTGCAGCCACAGGATTTGAACTAGCAACCTTCTGAGCACAAGCGTATCCTAACCTGCAGAGCCCCACCCAAAGGGTAAATACAAGTCCATGCATCCATTTGATAACAGCTGATCCTGGTCAGAAGGCTTGGAGCCCAGTCTAAGCAGCACAAGGTTGGGACATACCCTGGACCCTGGGTGGGTTCCTAGCCCATTGCATGGCACTTACACACCTGTTATGAACATGAAAGCTCAACACAGAGAGTGAAGATGGGATTGAAACCCCCAGCTCTGTAGGCATGAGAGATGCCACTGAACTACCACGCCACCTGTGAAAGCTAGTGACGTCATAAAATAAGCTCAAAGCCCATGGTGAGTGGGATGTCAGTCACAGCCCAGAGATTAACTTGCTTCCTAATGCTTGTTCTAGTTAAACTAGAAGGTGAAGGACAGCACACACAAATCGCACACACCTTGCACATAAAATTCTCATTTATTTAACAGTAGTAAATGTTTCATCTTAAGATAGACATTGTGTCTGATCTTTTAAGAAACTGGATTTGCATGTATATGATGTTAGGTGCTTGTATAAGATGCACTGATCAGTCATCTAAGCATTGAAAACTATATCCCTCTGTGGTGTGGTGTTGCTGTATGGCGGCATATTTCACTTCTATTCTTCATTAAAAAAAACTACCACATATTGAACTGTTGGGATTAAAAGGAGAAACCTTAAGGTAGCCAATTATGTGGTGCTTTTAAGTCACATGACATCTGTATTTCCCTCATTGACTCTCTTTCCTGAGGTCTCCCTCAGACAAAAGACACATCAGTATGCCTCAAAAATTGCACCACTAAACAGATTTCTGTACGTGAGGATTTTTTTGCTACATATTTGGTAAGTTAAATAGACATTGTTGTTCACAAATCAACTTTATCTAACATATTTTTACAGTAAATTGAGAAAACGTGAATGTTGCTAACACTCTGCAATGGAACACAATGGATCAGCAGTGATGTATTTCCCATTGGGATTTTTATGGATAGTGGCATCAATAATTTTATTGCAACTATTTATTTATTTGGAAAACTTTACAGTGATTTTTTTGTACTTTTGTATGAATAACAGAAACAGGATTCTTCTGCTATGTTCTATGGAAAAAGCTTGAAAAAGAGATAAGCTTCAATGACAGTGACAATGACATGGATTTGATTGGATAATTGAAGGATAAATTTAGGCAGGGCTTTTAGGCATTCCAGGTGTAGAAATATATTGATTTATTAAGGAAATACTAATTTTATTATAGGAGAATTTATCATTTCTAAGAAAACATTTTTTGAAATGTCTTTTGATATGTTTTACTAAAGTTGCTTAATATAATTCAAACTAATGGGAAAAAAATATTCCATGGTTAGAACATAATGTGTACCGTAGCGGAATATGGTCAAAGGCATGTGGACACCAGCCTGCCCATTGTTACTATAACAGCCTCTGCTCTTCTGGGATGGCTTTTCATTAGGTGTTGAACATTTCTGGTGGGATTTGCAACCATTCAGGTTGGGTGTTGATGTTGGGTGATCAGGTCACTCTCTGTGAGTTTGTATGACCTCCACTCCACAGCAGAATTTGCTCCCTGACGTTTCCGCCTCACAATCACGTCACATGCGATTGACCAGGGCAGCTCTAGCAGGGCAGAAATTTGGCAAACTGACTTGTTGGGAAGATGGTAACATATGATGGAACCAAGTGGAAAGTCACTAACCTCTTCTGTACAACGACATATCCTACAACCAGTGTTTGTCACTGGAGATTACATGGCTATGTGCTTAATTATACACGTGTCGACAATGGGTGTGGCTTAATTAGCCAATTCCTCTAACCAATAGGATGTCCTCATACTTTTGCCTATATAGTGGGAACACAAAAAAGCTGTTTCGAAATGGTCAGTGTTTAATAAACAGCATAAAGTTTTAAACATGCTGTAGTGCGTGTTGTCTACAGATAAGCCTGGTCTTGTCTTTTCAGATCTAGAAACAACGTCTTATATCTTTAACATAACATCTGTTGATGTTATAAAAGACTTTTGGCATTGTCCTGCTCACAGACACATCCAGCTGCTGCACAAAGAAAATATTTAGAGTATATTGAAAGAAAATGGGAATCTGGGTTCCCCATTGCTGTCTAAAGGACTATCCATCAAAGGCTGCTGTCACACACTTGTGTTTCCTTGTCTTTGAACTTTTCTATGCTCCTTTGACAGGGGTGTCTGTTGGCAGCACGAGGCTTCTGAAATTCAGTGTTTATGGTGATGATGTATCCGTGTTTGTAAGATGTAGTCAAAACACGGCATCTTTGCCCAGCTGCTATGAGAGCAGCAGGGATACGTCTGTAGTTATAGCTGTGGCAGTATCACTCTTCTTCAGGGAGTTCTGCTACAGAAATGTGCTTTTCTTCTTCAAAAGGACCGCAGGGGAATTGCAGAACTTTTAAATACTTTGGGATGTTTTTAGGTAACATTGAGAGCACTATTTAATGTTTGGGAGGGGATATCAATCAAGAACAAGGAAGAGGAACAAAAATCAAAATGGTTAATGGCTGAACTGGCTTTTATGAAGATGTTTTATACACAAAGAATCTCTATTATGTACCACAAATTAGTGTACTTAACATCAATGTAACCCTTCTGGTCAAAATGCAGTTTTACCATGACATCTTTCTGGGTTATTCTGGACAGAGGAAAGTTAACTGTCATGGCTTATCTGAGGCGGATGGAGACAATTTTACAGACACTGACAGAAAAATGTAAAATTTCTGGCTGCAGATGTGAAGGTGATTCTGTCGTTTGAAGTCTTTTGAAGGCAGATATGGAAGACAGTTTGTGTTTGTGGCTTAACGCTGCACCAGGAATGCTGGGAGATCCAGCTGTGTGTACGACATGAATATATTAAGCAGGA